CCGCCTAGCGGCGCCGGCACACCGGGTTCTAGTCCCGGTTGGGGCGCCGGATTCTGTCCCGGTTGCCCCTCTTCCAGGCCAGCTCTCTGCTGTGGCCCGGGAGTGCAGTGGAGGATGGCCCAGGTGCTTGGGCCCTGCACCCCATGGGAGACCAGGAGAAGTACCTGGCTCCTGGCTCCTGCCATCGGATCAGCGCGGTGCGCCGGCCGCAGCGCGCCGGCTGTGGCGGCCATTGGAGGGTGAACCAACGGCAAAGGAAGACCTTTCTCTCTGTCTCTCTCTCTCACTGTCCACTCTGCCTGTCAAAAAAAAAAAAAAAAAAAAAAAAAGAAGGGGACAGAAGAACAGTGTCTGTGCGTTTCTGCACCAAAAACACCACGCACGCCCGCAGCCCTGCAACGCCGACTGCACGGCTGGGCAGCCCTCACTCGCCCCCGCCGCCCGTGATTCCTGCTTGTGGCCCAGGGGAGCCCAGCCTCAGAGTCCACAGCACTGCCCTCCAGCTGTCCTGGTCGCCTGGGTGTCCTGTCTTCAAGCTTCATCTTCCACCCTTGCCTTGAGTCCCAGCGAATCCTCTTTGATTCACAAGGACTCGGGCTCTCAAAGGAAGACACTACTGATTTTTCCAATGTACAGAGACAATAGTCAGATTTTTTTTACATTTTTATGCAAATGTGGGAATGACACACGCAATGACAGACTGTCCCAAAGTCTGCAGACGCAAACCAAAGAGCCTTCCGTTTTGGCGTGTGGGAGCGCCTGGGTGCATTTTCCTTCTGTGCCCGCGTGGTTTCTGTGCCTCCCGCGCGTGGGTGGAGCAGCTGTGGGCGTCTTCCCCGTGCTCCCAAACCGAGCAGAGCAGCTCCAAGGTGGGGGAGTGTACATTTGGAACCCTGGCTGCTCCTCCAGCAGTTTTACTGCCCTTTAAAAAAAAGTTATTTATTTATTTGAAAGACAGAGAAAGACCCAGAGCTCATATCTGCTGGTTCCCTTCCCAGATGCCCACAATGGCCAGGGCTGGGCCAGGTGGAAGCCAGGAGCAAAGAACTCAATCCAAGTCTTTGTGAGTGACAGGTGTGCAGTAGCAGGAAGTGGAGGCAGGATTGGAACCCAGGTATCCTACATGGGACGCGGGTATCCCAGCTGGGGTCCTAACCACTCGGCCACACACCTACTTCTCACCTTCCTTTTTTTTTTTTTTTATTTTTTTTATTTTTGACAGGCAGAGTGGACAGTGAGAGAGAGAGACAGAGAGAGAAAGGTCTTCCTTTGCCGTTGGTTCACCCTCCAATGGCCGCCGCTGCAGCCGGCGCACCGCGCTGATCCGATGGCAGGAGCCAGGATCCAGGTGCTTTTCCTGGTCTCCCATGGGGTGCAGGGCCCAAGCACCTGGGCCATCCTCCACTGCACTCCCTGGCCACAGCAGAGGGCTGGCCTGGAAGAGGGGCAACCGGGACAGAATCCGGCGCCTTGACCGGGACTAGAACCCGGTGTGCCAGCGCTGCAAGGTGGAGGATTAGCCTATTGAGCCACGGCGCCAGCCCTTTTTTTTTTTTTTTTTTTTTTTTGACAGGCAGAGTGGACAGTGAGAGAGAGAGACAGAGAGAAAGGTCTTCCTTTTTGCCGTTGGTTCACCCTCAAATGGCCGCCGCGGCTGGCGCACTACGGCCGGCGCATCGCGCTAATCCGAAGCCAGGATCCAGGTGCTTCTCCTGGTCTCCCATGTGGGTGCAGGGCCCAAGCACTTGGGCCATCCTCCACTGCACTCCCGGGCCACAGCAGAGAGCTGGCCTGGAAGAGGGGCAACCGGGACAGAATCCGGCGCCCTGACCGGGACTAGAACCCCGTGTGCCGGCGCCACTAGGCAGAGGATTAGCCTAGTGAGCCACGGCGCCGGCCTCACCTTCCTTTTAACACAGCTTCAAAGTGTCATCCAGTGCCTGCGGTTGATCAAATCCTAACTCATGGAATTGTTGACATTTATTGATAATAATACACTCAACAGGTTCCCCAAAGCTTGTGTTCTTGGGTAGTGCATGAACTGCTGGTCATCTTGATTAGTTAGGTAGCTCGGTGCGGGGAGCAAGGGGCGAAGCCCCCAACCCAGCGCCTTGCTGTGACCTCAGATGAGCTACTTCCTGTCCTTGAGTTTGCTGCTTTACCTGTGAAATGAAGACAGTGATGTTTTCTGGGCGTGTCTGTCAGGCCCAAGTGAAATCCTGTGCGTAAAATGCAAAGTGCTGGCTACCTCCGTCACCCTCATCACTGACTGCCCTAGGTTGGTCAGCTCTGGGAGGGTGTTCTATGCAAATTGCCCTGACCTCCCCCAAGGGCATGTAGGTGGCCAGCACAGTGCATGCGCAGGTGCCAGGAGCTGGATCCCCGCCCAGGGAGAGCCGTCCTGGTTAAATGAGCCCAGGTGTGGTTTTCATCACTGGGAGATATAAGACCTCAAGCACCAAGATTTCTACCGGTTTTACTTCCTTCCCAAGTTGCAGGAATGCGATGCCCTTCCACGGTCTGTCATCCTCGTCCTCAGACTGTCGGCCCGGAGGCGCGCCCGTGCGCTCCCAGGTGGAGGATGCTAGGGTGTCCTCAGTTGCCAGGAAGACGGCCACATGTGCTCGGAGACGGACGGGGTTTTGCAAAAACGTGCTCCCCACGGTCATTAGCGAACCCGTTGGAAGTTAGGAAGGAAACAGGACCAAAGGCAGGAGCAGAATAAGGAGAAAGAGAGAAGGGGTTAAGGAGGCAGAGAGGCAGGCAGGAGCCGCCGGGCAGGGGCTCGGTCTGGTTCTGGACAGTGAGGCTGGAGGCCGCGCTCTCGCGTCCCGATGCACTGCTCGTGTTTCCTGCCCCCGCCGTGGCGCTGTGCTCACTGCTCTCCTTGCTCCTGCCGCCCCAGCCCTGTGCAAGCCCCCGGCCTCTGCCCACTGCTCTCCCGCTCGCTCTCCTGGGCCTCTCCCACCCCACACCCCCATGGCCGCTTCTCAACCTGTGTCCTAAAAAACAAAATCGCTGTTTTCCCTTCTGAACCTCGCGGGGTGGGCTTTCCCCATCTGTGGCTCAGAGGCCCCCTTCAGTGGCCGCCAGTGGACAGGTCCTCCCTGGAGCCATCTTGCAAGCTGCAGGCATGTATCTGCAGCCACGTGCGTCCGGTGCAGCCAGCCCTCCCGCCGCGGCCCCAGACGGCTCCACTGCCCCTCCCTACCCTCTTCCTCACAGCTGTTCCCGCGACGGGGCCAAAGTGTCAGGCTTCTTAATGAGGCTTGCAAAGATATGAAGTAAGATCTCCAGAAATGTGTGGCCTGTTGACGGTGATGACAATGATGCAAGCGTTTGCAGGCACTGAGTTACCGAGCAGCTGGTAGTCCTGAGGGTGGACAGCCAAGGCCAGGGTGCCAGCAGCGTCCGTGTTCCGGTGAGGGCCTGACCCCCAGGTACCCAGCTACAGACTGCAGGCTTCTAGCCATTTCCTCGCGTGCCAGAGCAGGGGTGAGGGCGCTGCCTGGGGTGCCTTGTGGGGGGCACTGTTTGCGTTAGTGGGGGCTCCATCCTCCTGACCCAGGCACCTCCCAAAGGGGCAGCTCCCACACCAGCACCTTGGGGCCCAGGACCTCCCTGTGTGCGGTCTGGGGCTCTGCGTGCTCTAAGAGGGAGACAGTCCCCACCCCGTCAGCCCAGCCCCAGCGTCCCGGGAGCAGGCGCCTCTGTCTGTGAACCAACTCACCCAGGCTCCTCCTGGATCTTCCGGAGCCTTCTCCAGGCCTCCCTTGGCTCCAGCCCCTCTGGAAGCTGAGCGTTCGCTGAGTGACGCCACCCTAACAGGGACATTTCGCCTACTCTGGGACGTTGCTGCCGTCGCCTGTGTGTGTCCTGGCTGAGCCTTTAGGCCGGAGGTCGCCATGGCGGCCCCGCTGACACTTTGTGCTCAGTCGTCTGCTGGGGATGACTGCGCTGAGCGTGTTGTAGGGTGTCCAGGAGCATCCTGGCCTCCTCCTGTTAGGGGCAGGCTGCTGGCCCTCCCCTGGGCTGTGACTGCTGGGCGTCTCCTGGGCAGTGCCACGGGGCCACCCTGCAGCCTGCTCAGGGGCAGGAGTGGGCCCTGTGCCCAGGAGAGAGCAGAGGCACGGATTCCAACTCAGACTCCGGGAAGCTTGTTGGTCCCCGTAGTTAGGGTTTTCTTTTCTTTCTTAAAATTAGTTTTTTTTAATTAACTAATTTTTATTCTATTTGAAAATCAGAGAGGCAGACGGAAATCTTCCACCTGCTGGTTCACTCCCTCACTGCCTGCAGCACCCAGGGCTGGCTCAGGCTGAAGCCAAGAGAACAGAACACAGTCCAGGTCTCCCACGTGGGTGACAGGCAACCTGAGTTGTCACCTGCTGCCTCCCAGGGTGTGCATTAGCAGGAAGCTGGATTAGAAGTGGAGTAGGGGCCAGCATTGCCTTGTGGCATAGGGGGTAAAGCCACCACTTGTAGTGCCGGCATCCCATAGAGGCACCAGTTCAAGTCCCAGCTGCTCCACTTCCAATCCAGCTCTCTGCTATGGCCTGGGAAAGCAGTGGAAGATGCCCCAAGTCCTTGGGCCTCTGCATCCACATGGGAGACCTGGAAGAAGCTCCTGGCTTCAGATTGGCCCAGTTCCAGCTGTTGTGGCCATCTGGGGAGTGAACCAGCGGATGAAAGACTCTCTCTCTCTCTGCCTGTGCCTCTCTATAACTCTGCCTTTCAAATAAATAAACAAATCTAAAAAAAAAAAAAGAAGAAGAAGAAGAAGTGGAGTAGCCAGGACTCAGCCAGGCAGGCACTGATAGAGGATCCGGGGTTCCCGAGTGGTGACTTCACCACCGTGCATCGATGCCTGCCTGGTAGTTAGGATTTTGGAGCCCACCTATGTTTTAGATGACATATGGTATTCTGTGCATATACGTCCACACTTAGCCTCAGGACAGAACCGTAATTTAAGGATTCCGTTGTCATTTGCCTCCCACTGTCAGCATCAAGAGGACCAGCTCTTCTGAGCGAGTGTCTCCTGGGGGCCGGCGGGAGAGCTACGGGGATTCCAGAGGGAACCGGAACCGCACGGGTTCCACCAGCAGCTCCTCCAGTGGGAAGAAGAACAGCGAGAGGTAAGGGCATCTCGACCCCGCTCTGCCTTTCGGTGCCTCCGCCTCCACGGTGGAGCCGAAGGTGCCTCCTGCAGACCGGCCAGCAGCTCCTCCTGGCGCCAGGGCTCCTCCTGCAAAGACTGGGGGAGCTGATCCACGGCCGGCCGGCTGGGGGTGGCTGGGGGGGACGCAGGGCACACTGAAGCCTGTCACGTACAGAGACTGCAGCCTGGACTCCCAGCCCTCACATAGGCGAAAGCTCCCGAGAGCCTGCACGGTGTCCAGCAGAGGCTCCTCTGAGAGTCCAGCGGGCACCTTGTGTTGCTGGCACTTGCTGTTGCCATGTTAACGTGGATCTTAATGGGCTGTTTTCGGTCTGTCAGCTGCGGTTTCTGAGACAGAGTGGGTACAAACTTGCAATTTTGTGATTTGTCAGAGACTATTTTTAATATTGAGCTAACGTCAGCAGTGTGAACCGTTTTTCTCTCTGGTTCCGTGAAGTCCTCTTCCTCCTCATTTTGAATGTTTCTGTGGGGTTAGTTTTTAATGGATCGTGATAAATACCTGTGACGCTGATGTTAGCAGCGGTGGGTGGAGTAGCTTCTTGTTTCGCACAAGGAAGAACGCAGAGCTGCTGAGCAAGGTCGCAAGCCTTCATGGGGTGGGGCATCCGTCAGAACGGATGGGCACCTCCGACTGGGGGAAAGCCAGGTGGCATGGTTTAAAGGAGAGATACCCCTGGGGGGCCAGGTAGGCGGCCCAGGAGAGGGCGAAGTCTGTATTCAGACTGCGTCTGGACAAAGGGTTTGCTGGGTGTGGGGTAGGTGAAATGCCACCCGAGGTTTTACCTCCCAGTGTTACAGGCTGGGGAGCTCACTTGGCACCAGGCAGAGAGGACTTGGGAGACAGGCTGGGGCCACCTGTAAAGTTATCAGGGTATATGGGCCGGACCTAGAAGTGCCTCCAGGGCTCCAAGGTGCGCCCCCGGGGCTGCCAGAGACAGCCGCACTGCTTCCCCTCTCAGGTGCTTGGCTTTCCTTAGGCCCCTCTCGCACGGGCTGATCTCTGACTTCCTACCCGGCACGGAGTCAGGTGTTAGGAAAGCTATCCGTGCAAGCTACTCTTCGGCCCTTGAGTAGCCGATTCTGTGTTTAAGAATGTATTCATGGATAGGCTCCGTTTCTCTGTGGTGTATCCACCTAGTACCACACTTCATCCAAGCTTTTATTCATTGCACGTCCACGTCGCTCTGTTAAGCAAGCAAAGAATTTCAGCCTCAGAGGCTAATTGCGTTGATTCCCCAGTGTTCCTGCAGGGAGAAGGCTTAGTCATACGGCAGTCACCCCGCCCACACGCTGTGGCAGTCCAGGCTGTGAACCGGACTCAACTCCGTCCTACAAAGGAAGGTTGGCCCCTTTGTCAGTTTTATTCCTAAAGACACTTTTAGTAGAAAAGACACAGACGTGGCTCACAGACGTGGCTCACATCTGTGGCAGGTCAGGTTCCCAGTCAATGAACAATTCCAAAAGCCACGGCCATGCCTTCTGTCTTCTCCTAATTTCAGCTGTTAGTACTTCTTATCTGAAGATTATGCTAATTGGGTGATAATACCTTGGAAATAAGGCCAAGTGGTTACAATGGCAACAGAGTGTGTCCGCGGGAGGAGCCGCACAGCCCACAGCGTCTCTGGATTCGGGGCAAACTTGGAAGTGGACCTGAAAAGTCTGGATCTTGGCAGTTCTGAAACCCTTGGCTCCTCCTCTGCACATCTGATTCTTATTAAGAATTTCCACACAGAATTCACGTTGTGTGAACTCCAGATCTGCTTCATCTCCTGAACCTCCCGGCTTTGGTAAATGGGCTGGGCAAATATTTCCGTCATCAAAGATATTTACAAAGGGATTTTTGAAAAATGCCACAGTAGGAAACTTTGATTTGGAAATGAAGGGCTGGGAAAATTTGCTAATCAATTTCTAAAAATAATCCAGGCAACTAAATGTGTCCATCTGAAAGTAAATCCCTTGTCTCCTTGGGCCCCGGGGTGCTGGTTGGGGCTGGCCTGAGTGGCCGCTGCCCAGGGTTTCCCGAGAGACGGTTGCTCCTTTCTCTAAGGAAGTTAGCGGGAGGTGGCCACTGAGAAGCGCAGGAGCGAAGGCGAGGTTGGTGGTTCTCTGGGCTCCATTCTGTCTTCCTCTTCCTCCCGTGGTCTTGGGGACTTGAGAGGGGGGCATTGGAGAGGTCCCTCCCCCAGCGTGTTCACTGCTTGCAGTGCCTTCCCGGCATCCCGGCATCATGCCATTCCCGGCTCCCGTGCTGTGTTCATTGAGGAGACAGTGGCACGTGGTCGCTGTGCACAGCACGGCAGAGTGCAGGGAAGGAAGGATCTGGGCTTGAGGGTCAGCTGTGCCTTCCCTTCCCCGAGCCCTGGGTTTTCCCTTCGTGGGTCCGGGTGTTTCACCGGATTCCCGGGAATCTAGCGGATGAGCTCATCAGCAGGAAGCCTTCCAGGAGGCGAGCCAGGCGCCGTCGTCATCGCAGGGATGCTCGTGTAGGGAGAGACTTGTGCAGAGCAGAGGAAAGTGATTTATGAGGCTTCCACACTTCTGAGCTTTACTTTCCTCATCTGTAGGATGAGTCGGCCTGTGTCCTGGTCTGACGCATGTGAAGTTAGGGTCACTTAAGTGTGCCGTTCTTGGGGTGCACCCCGGATTCTGACAACGTTTGAGGGGAAATAAAGTACAGTCAGCCCCCTGCATCCACAGCTTCTATGTCCAGGGTCAAAAATATCTGGGGAGGGGGCTGGCGCTGTGGTAACGGGTAGAGCTGCCACCTGCAGTGCCAGCATCCCATATGGGTACCTGTTCGAGTCCCAGCTGCTCCACTTCCGATCCAGCTCTCTGCTATGGCCTGGGAAAGCAGTGGAAGATGGCCCAAGTCCTTGGGCCCCTGCACCCACGTGGGAGACCCACAAGAAGCTCCTGGCTCCTGACTTCGGATTGGCTCAGGTCCAGCTGTTGCAGCCATTTGGGGAGTGAACCAGTGGAAGGAAGACATCTCTCTCTCTCTCTCTCTCTCTGTAATTCTGCCTTTCAAATAAAATAAATAAATGTTTTAAAAAATACATCTAGGGAAAATATCACCACTGTACTCAGTACGCTTAAAAAGTACAGGCCTTTTTCTTGTCATCCCAGAACATACAGTGTCACAGTTGTTTCCATTGCATTGACAGTGTGTTAGGTGTTATCAGGAATCGAGAGATGATTTGCATAGTTACCTTTTCCTTAAAATATATATCTATACACATATATATATACATATATATGCATATATGTGTATAGATATATGAAAGGCAGAGAGAGAGAGAGAGGTTCTATCCACTGGTTCACTCCCCAAATGGCCACAATAGCCAGGACTGGGCCAGCCCGGATCAGGAGCAGACATGGGAGCAGCTTAGCCCACCGTGCTGCAGTGCCCACCCCCAGAGGTGATTCAACGTGTACAGGAGGATGTGTGCGTGCTGTATACAGACATCATGCCGTGCTATAGAAAGGACTTCACAGACCTTGGTGTTTGTGGGTGTCCTGGAACTAAGCCCCCACGCACATTTGGGGACAGCTGAATGTGTTCCAGATCCGCCGAGTCTCACAGAGGCCGAAGGCGTCCGTAGGGAGCTGGCCTGCGGCTGTGTGCGACTCCCCTCCCCGGCATCCCTTCTCTCGCACTCACGGAGGCTCATTGGAATGCAGGCGAGCGAGCGCTGATATCACAGGGCTAACTCGAATCCACCCGGTTTGCAGGAGCCGCGGTCGTTCCTCTGCTGGGGGGGGGGGGGGCTTCCGCCGTGCCGGCTGCACAGCTCCCTGCCAGTGCCCGCCCGCGTGCAGAGCTTGTGCACACAGGCACCGGAGAGGAGCAGTTCCAGACCAGCGTGGTGCTTCTCAGGACCGCTAACTGTACCGGCTACAGAGCCGCTCAGAGAGCGGAAGTGTCTGAGTCCCAGACACGCCTGTCTCCCTGGTGTCCCTGGGTGTGGCGACGGTGGGCGTTTTGCTTTCATGGAAACCACCTGATGGCTGCGGTCCTCTTGCTCCCCTACGCCCGCTGCCTTCAGAGATGACCTGTAGGTTTGACAGTCTTGTGACCGGTTGCTCCATTACTTAGGGTCTTAACATTTTTAAAAACTATTTATTTATTTATTTGACAGGCAGAGTTCCAGAGAGGCAGAGGCAAGGAGAGAGAGGGGTATATATATATATATATAGAGAGAGAGAGAGAGAGAGAGAGAGAGAGATCTTCCATCTACTGGTACACTCCCCAGATGAGAATCTTAATGTTTTAAAATACTTTCTTGTAACAAACCACAAAATTTTAACAGCATTTAATTTTTGTACCAAAAAAACTGCCATGAAATACAAAAGTAATATGCAGCAATATGATATTTGACTTTATGTATTATTGATTATTAACAAATATTAATAATTACATATTATTCCTGTCTTCATGAAGTAATTTAAATATGGAGTTGGCAACAACACTGTAATGGACATGTTATATAATGTAGCCACTATATTAATCCATTAGGAGAACTTTTTAAGTAAAAAAAAAGTATTTTTGGGGCCGATACTGTGGTGCAGTAGGCTAAGGCTCTGCCTCCAGTGCTGGCATCCCATATGGGTGCCAGTTGGAGTCCCAGCTGCTCGACTTCTGATCCAGCTCCCTGCTGTAGCCTGGGAAAGCAGTGGAAGATGACACAGGTCCTTGGGCCCCTGTATCTATGTAGGAGACCTGGAAGAAGCTCCTGGCTCCTGGGTTTGGCCAGGCTAAACCCAGCCATTGTAGCCATTTTGGGGGTGAACCAGTGGACGGAAGACCTCTCTCTGTAACTCTGCCTATCAAATAGATACATCTTTTAAAAAAAGAGGGACAGGTGTTCCCCTGGATACAGGGCCCTCTGTGTCACACAACCTGAATCCCACCCGGGCCGTGCTCTGGGAAGGGAAGGTGGAGGCCCGCGGTGCCTG